CAGGGAATTTCATCTTACTCATTTCCATTATAAGTTACAGCATCATCAAAGACAGTGTCTAGTCCTGTGTGAAAGAAAATTTTCAAATATAGTCATATTTCCTGACTTGCGATCAATTCTCTTGAGGTGAATTATTGGAATAACTTATGTTTGAAGGTATTCTACATTGGATGTTCTAAAAGCCTATTATCTGGAATGTTTACAAACTGTTTCATGCCTGACTTCAACCTTTTCAACTTCCTTTCTCTTAACTACTTTAAAAAACTCTTCAGGTCTTCAACTATTGTTATTGTTTTTGTCATTTTAAAAGCATGTTTAAAATGTATGTTTTCAAAGTGGAATTTGTGGGTAAAAGCATAAGCTCTAGACTCAGACTATCTGAATTGAATCCTTGGCCTACAACTCACAGTGACCTTAAACTAGTTACTTTATCTCCTCATGTCTTGAAAAATGGGAATAATAATAATGAACTGACATGTAAAGGTCTTAGAACACTGAGTTATAACTCATAGCTAAGGAAAATTATTGAACTTATTAATAATCTGCAGAATAATCATTTGGTTTTAATGCTTTGCCTTCATTTATTCATTCATTTGGTAATTATAGAAGGCCTAGATTATTCCAGGCACTGTACTAAATGCTGAATAGTACGTAGAAATCCAGAGGTGAACAGGATACTCAGTCTCCACCTTCATGAAGCTTATTAGTCCACTGTCTTTATTCAAATTATTATTGCCCATGTAACAGTGATTACAGAGGTTTTAAATTGCATGAGTGGTTTTGCATTTCATGTTCCTTCCTTCAACACCTTTTATAGTAAGACCCAAGATCAGGTCAAAGAAGCCTTAGAGGTAACAATAGAGATTCGAATGATAGAGGCCCAGATTCATCCACCAATTGCCTCCATTTCTGTATATCTTTACTAGGATATTGAAAGCAGGTACACATAGGTATACATTTATTTACTTAAATGTTTTGTTTTTATTCTATGCAGTTGATTTTACATGAATGAGCATGAATGCAGATTTTAAAAACATAATAATAAAAGCAACAGTATTCAATAGTAAGAGACACTTATATAGAAACAGTACTATTTTGATTCCTAAGAACCTTCTCCCTTTTACTATATTTCTTTTATTCATACCGAGATGAATGTAAAGTCATTGCCCATGTCAGGTGTGGATGTGTATTTGTAAGCCACCTGATCGCTAGTCATGGTGAGTCCTTGGCTCTGATGTACCCCTAATGACCTTGTCTAAGGGTCTGGGATGGTGCGTGGCCCTGCGATAGGTCTTACTAATTTGAGTGGCTCTCAGATGAATAAGTCTCCTAATTTGACCTAATTACCACAGCTGTGTACCCAGTGCAGCCAGCAGGGCAGGCAGACAGCTAGCATGGTAATACTAGGGCCCTGGGGCTTCATACAATGCCCTTGTTATTTACCAAAATATAGAAAAACTGTTTCACAAACACAGACTGTCTTCCAATTTAACAGCAGAGGGCCATAGTGAGGTGACATACAAGAAAAATAACATGTTAGAAACAAAAAGCTGATGGTTGAAAATGGAGACAGGAAAAAGGTACACTGTCTTCTCACATGGAACACTGAATAGATGAGCTTCACAGTATTTAGGAACATTCATCAAAAACTAGTTCAGCCTCGAGCAATGGTCAGAGCATCGACCCACCAAAGGGTCATGGTTTCGATTCCCAGTCAAGGGCACATACCTCGGTTGCACATTCAATCCCTGGCCCTAGTCAGGGTGTGAGTGGGAGGCAACCAATCGATGAGTCTCTCTCACATTGATATTGTTTTGACCCCCGTTGGGGTGTGTATGGGAGGCAACCAATCGATGTTTCTCTCCTCTCTCTCTCTCTCTCTCTCTCTTCCTTCCTGTCTCTCTTTAGTGTGACCATACTGGTATAGTGATCAAGCCTTTCAGCTTCCTTCTGCTTGAGAGAATTAGTGATTCATTTTGCTTTGTCCTTCTGTTGATTTAGACATTAAAGCTTTTGTATTGGTAACCCATGATATAGCTGAAATATAGTCTCTATTCACAAACAATAATAGTACAATTTTGAAATTATGGTTTTGCAGAAGATAGAAAATATAGCTGTGCAACTACACCATGGTATAATGAAAAGAACTTGAACTAAATCACATTCCTATGAACTTGTTAAGTGGTCACAAGCAAATACTCATTTGTAAGATACTCATTTAGTCAATGCCAGGGCTGACTAAAGGGTCAGTACGGTCCCTTTCTACCCACAAATTCTGAATTCACAGTACTTCACATAGCTTGTGACATACAAAAGAAACTAGAAACTATATCATGTAAAAGTTAGATGCAAGCTATTATTATGAAAGAAAAATCTTAACCTCTATCCTTGATATTTTAGTCTCTCTTTTGAAAATGTGTAGTGATAGGGAAAAAATACATATTCACCTATGGAATGTCAACACCAGCCACAGCTGCTGTCAGACCATAGCAGAGGAGCCTGGCCGGCGTGGCTCAGTGGTTGAGCATCCACCTATTCCCTTTCCCTTCCTCTCTGAAATCAATCAAAATAAATAAAATTTTTAAAAACCATCATAGAGCCCTAGCCGGTTTGGTTCAGTGGATAGAGCGTCCGCCTGTTTACCGAAGGGTTCCAGATTCGATTCAGGTCAAGGACATGTACCTTGGTCGTGGGCACATCCCCAGTAGGGGGTGTGTAGGAGGCAGCTGATCGATATTTCTCTCTCATCGATGTTTCTAACTCTCTACCTCTCTCCCTTCCTCCCTAAAAAGAAATCAATAAAATATATTAAAAAATAAATTTTAAAAAATTAAAAAAAAAATAAAAACCATCATAGAGGAAATTTCCAGGAATGGCACTATATAAAGATTTCAAGCAATTCCTTCAATAGAAAGTCATAAAAATGGTTAAAAACAAATATTTGAAAGCCCTGGAAAATAAACAGGCAGAAATTTGAGAAGGGTATCAGGTGACTGCCTGTGTGTGGCTGATTTGCCCAGGGGTGCTCTTCAGCCCCACCCTACCTCCCAGCATTCACTCACGTGTACAGATTGATAGAGTTCAAGTCAGCAAAGGGACTGGAAAACTAAAAGGAAATTTTTAGAAGCAAGAGAAATGCAGAGGGATAAGATCTAGAATCTACGTGTAAACTCTGCCCAAATCTCTGCCTCATCATTAAAAAATATATGCAAAGTAAACACCAGACAGCCCAAGAAAACACTAGAAGGGGGTCTACCCTTGACACAGATTTGCCGATCCACAAAGGTTACATGCTGTATGATTCTACTTGTATAACATTTTTGAAATGACAGAGTGGAAATGGAAAACAGAGCCGTGGTTGCCAGGGTTTAAGAGGGGCTGGAGGTGGGAGGAGGGAAGTGGGCTGTACAGGGGCAGCATATGTGATCCTTGTCGTCATGGAGATGTTCTGATCCTTGACTGCATCGGTGTCAATACCCTGGTTGTGATACTGTACTTTAAATTTGCAAGATGTTTCCATTGGGGAAAGCATGGGATCTATCTATATTATTTTACAACCACATGTGAATCTATAATTTTCTCAAAGTAAAACGTTTAATTAAAAAAGGAAAGTATGCCCTGGCCAGTGTGGCTCAGTTGGTTGAGCATCATCCCATGCACTGAAAGGTTACCGATCTGGCAGGAGCCTCCCCGCCTCTGCTGTAGGCGGGTAGTAAGGAGCGGGGGTCCTGGACTGTGAGAGGGATGTCTGACTGCCCGCTTAGGCCCGATCCCCCCAGGGAGTGATCCTCCAAGGGGTCCCAGACTGCGAGAGGGCACAGGTCAGGCTGAGGGACCCCCAGAGTGCACAAATTTTTGTGCACTGGGCCTCTAGAGTGTGTGTGTGTGTGTGTGTGTGTTTATTTTTTAAAATTTTATTAAAATACAAAGAAAGGGAGGGACGGAGGGAGGGTGAAAGAAAAGTAGCCTGGCCAGGTGAGGGTGGCTTAGTTGTTTGTACACCAGAAAGGTTGCAAGTTCAGTTCCTAGTCAGGGCACATACCTAGGTTTCAGGTTCAATCCCCTGTTGGGCGTATACAGGAGGCAACCAATTGATGTTTCTCTCTCACATCTGTTTCTCTCTCTCTCCTCCCTCTCTCTCTCTCTCTTCTCCTCTCTGTAAAATCAGTAAACATATCCTCAGGTAAGGGTTTAATAATAAATTTTAAAAGAAAAAGAAAAGCAATTGCTGACTTCCCACCAGAAGCGGAGACCAGAGAACAGCATGGTAGCATATTTAAACCACAGGAAACATTGTCAGCCTCTTCACTTTAAGACAACCACCAGACTGCAGCCCAGAGCTTATGTTTCTCCAGATTGTGGGTTTTTGAAAGGCATTCGGCTAATAATAGATATATTCTTGCTCCGGACCTGCCCGTAAAATCAGGAGACAATAGTGATGATGATCATGGTGGTGGTGGTGGTGGTGGTGGTGCCAGTGAAGAAAAGTTCAAGGTCAAAGTCAGCGGCGTCTGTAGTACCTCATATTGGTTTTTATTCCTTTTACCACATCTCAGGGAGTTCGTTGTTCCTTTTTCTTTTTTGAATATATTAATATTTATTTTTTATATGCGACGTATTTGATAAAAGGAAAATCGGTTTAGAGGCAAATGATAAAAGTGAAAGTGATTGTTGAGAGCAAGGCCATGCTTGTCAGGGTGCAGCCAGCTCGCACTTCTAGGTCCTGCCTCTGCCTGTGGGGAGGCCTCGTGCAGGGTCAGTCCCCCTGGCAGCGTCAGCCAGTCCCACTCACAGCCGGGCACTCTGTTCGTTGTGCTGTAAACACTGGGACTAAGGAAACTAGAAATGGCTCTGTGCGCCCTCCCCCCGCACTGCCTCTCCCTCACTCCAGCATGGTAAGCTGAAGTCACGTTCAAGTGGATGAGACCTCCTTCCTTAGGTACATACTTGCTCCAGCTTTTCCACCTCTGACAATGGGGAAACTATGGGTGATGAGTCTTGTCAAGTCAGAAGCTCCCAGGTCTGCGCCGCTTCTTGGTCATTACTTACCCCTCCCAGCAATGCTGTTACAGTGGGCGTGTGTGTAATTAGGGAAAAGGCAGGAGGAGCCAAGTTGGAGATATAGTCCATCCCAGGCAAAGGTCATTTTGAAGAATAGCTAGGTCAACAAGGCCCACCTAATGTTCTTTGCTGTTAATGCCATTTTAACCAATAGCTTAAAAAATGTAGCCCATAGAACTCCCGTTTGGTGTTTGGTCCCATTGGTACATTTGCATAATTACCAACACTGCTGCTTCCTCCTCCGCACTTCTGTCTCCTGTCACCCAAAAATTGTTCTGAGTGTAATTTTTCTTTAGTTTTACTACCTATTTGTATTAGACTCATGCTGGTTTATTTTAGGCCAGTAGGCTTTGACCCATTTATATACAAATTATCTTAGTTTTCCTCACAAAGACTGTTTTTTGTTGCTGTTTTTAAATATATTCTATTTCAGAGAGGAAGGGAAAGAAAGACAGAAACATCAATAAGAGAATCCTTGATCGGCTGCCTTCTGCATGCCCCCTAGTGGGGATCGAGCCCGCCACCCAGGGCATGTGCCCTTGATGGGAATCAAACCCAGGACCCTTCAGTCCCCAGGCCAAGGCTCTATCCACGGAGCCAAACCGGCTATGACCAAAGACCCTGTTCTTAATACCTATGTGGTGGGCTGGAACATGCTAGCAGCTCCCGCTGAGGCAGTGGGCTCGCTATAGACCTGGAGGGCAAGAGGAAGGCAGAGGAAGTTTCCTGTTAACTGATTCAGCAGTGGGAGGAGATTGGAGTTAGAGGGAGAGTGATGATGTTTAGAAGAGTGCAGGTTTGTGTGGTAGTGCTGGCTTTTTCTTTTTGTGTCTGCTTTTGGAAAGAAACATTTATTGCGTTCCTAGCCTGTGCCTGGCCCTTTAGTTAGGTGTGTTAGCTGTTACTCTCTTTTGGCCTGAAATGATAACAGTAATAGCTATTAATATGTGTACAACTTTGTAGTTGACCACATGAATTTATATTATTTCATTGGTCTTCACAACTCTCCATAGATGAGGAGATGAAAACTCTAAGGTCTCTTAGCATCTGAGTGGCAGACCAGTCCTCACGTGTGTTACCTACTCCCTGCGCCATGGTCCTCACCCGGCACATCGCCCGGGTGCACACTCCCCTCAGCCACAAGGTGGGGAAACGGGGGGCTCCCGAGGGCCTCCCGCCCTGAGCACCTCAGCAGATGCAGAGGCGGGTCTGAGCCTAGAGTCCCAGCCGTGGGCAAACTACGGCCCACGGGCCGGATCCGGCCCGTTTGAAATGAATAAAACTAGAAAAAAAAAAAAACCATACCCTTTTATGTAATGATGTTTACTTTGAATTTATATTAGTTCACACAAACACTCCATCCATGCTTTTGTTCTGGCCCTCCGGTCCAGTTTAAGAACCCATTGTGGGCCTCGAGTCAGAAAGTTCGCCCACCCCTGGCCTAGATGGTGGGTGGGAATGACTATGAGGGTTTATGCTTCTTGCCGAGCTGTTTGTCATTTGTTTGTTATTTGGGGACTTTGTTTGTTTCCATTGCAGGATGGCAATGACCCGGAGAACCATGTTCCAGAAGGGGGAGGTGCATAACAAGCCGTCGGGATTCTGGGGGATGATAAAGAGCATTACCACTTCAGCTCCAGGAAGTGAGAGTATCCTCCGTCCCTCTGCTTGATCCTTTTTCCCAGTTATATTGGATACTCAGCATTATGGTGGTCTCGGGTGTGCACCATAGCGATCAGACACGTGCATGTGTAACTTACAACATGGTCCTCCCTGTCAGTCTAGGGCAAGAGGAAGAAGTAGTATTGGGATAGTCTCTCCCACGGCAGCTGACTGCATCCAGGGTCCAGCTGGCCAGGCACAGTCATCTTTCCAACACCCACAGGTGATCATCACATCATGGGCTGAAGGGCCCTAACAAGTGAGTCTTTCCATTTTACAGATGAGGAAGTAGACCAGAGGAAGTTGTCACGCAGTGGTTTGTGGCAAAGACAGAGCAGAACTGTGGTCTCCCTCTCTTGGCTCTTTCCGCTGCGCTGCCACTTGCCCAGCTCTGAGCAATGACGACAGAACGGAACGGCTCCCTAAGCGGGTGGTTTGTAAGTAAGACCAGAGGGGCCTGTTTCTTAAGCAGTCAGTTTCCTAAACAACTTTTAAGCAGCTCTGTATCTCCAGTGACTTTTTGGTTTAAAAATCAAGGATTTTGGTTAATGGATTATTCTTGGCCCTGCTGGTTACAGTGTTAAACTAATTCCCAAAATGAGTGGCTAAATCTTGTGAGTCCCAGGCTTTTAGGTCAAAACTTTGGGGACCCAGGACTGAGGTGGCATAATCCTGCTTCTCTGCCTGGGGAAGCACACATTCCCTTTTGCTTCCACTGGAGGGAAAGGATGTGCCCTCCTCCAAGGAGCTTATGCCTAATCATGAGAGGAGCGGGCACGTTAACTAGTTAAACTCTATTGTTTGTTGGCAGCCACTACTGAGGAAGGATCTGTAGGGCTGATCTGTGAAATCGGGAAAATCACAGAGGAAGGAAGATGCAGATTAAAGTCTATGCTGTGTCAGAAGGGCCGTCTTTACTATTATTACATAAGAATCCATAAAAGCAGAAGTTGAGGATGAAGCTATCTTAGTGACAGTAAGTCAGTTCAACAAAAGCATCAGGATTCTCTAACCACTCTGAGCCCGTTTCCTAACTGGGGAGAGGAATAGCACGGCCTCGCTGATCTGGGAAGTGGCATAGTGTCATGGAAAGAGCAGGCCTGGAGCAGGACGGATCTGACTTTGCATCACGCCTGTCCAGCTGCGTGACTTTCAGCAAGTTATTTGCCTCTGAGCTTTACTTTCCTTGTCTGCAAAATGGGTAACGCCTATCTTATGTGATTGTTGTGAGCATAGTAGAGGATCATGTCTCTAAAGAACGAAAGAAGGTCTATAAATCCTAGGCTGTATTAAAAGTTAGTAAAGATTAACTCAGCTAGTGTAGCTCAGTGGTTGAGCATCAACCCAGTGATCCTATTTCTAGGAATATATCCTAAGAAACCCAAAACACCGATCAGAAAGAATGTCTGCGCCCCTATATTTACTGAAGCATTGTTTACAACAGCTAAGATCTGGGAACAGCCCAAGTGCCATCAGTAGATGAGTGGATAAAAAGCTGTGGTACATCTACACCATGGAGTACTATGCAGCTGTACAAAACGAATGAGCTCTTACCCTTGGAGACAGCATGGAGGGACCTGGAGAGCATTGTGCTAAGTGAAATAAGCCAGTCAGAGAAAGACAAGTATCACACGATCTCACTCACATGTGGAATCTAAGGAACAAAATAAACTGATGAACAAAATAGATCCAGAGGCATGGATGCATGGAACTGACTGACAGATTTCGGAGGGAAGGGGCTGGAGGGAGTCAGGAAGAGAATAACCAGAGAACTTGCATGCACATGTGCACAGCCCATGGACAGGGACAATAGTGTGAAGGCCTGGGGTGGAGCAGGGGCGGGGTGCAGGGGAGCAAGGGGGGGAGTGGGGGACTTCTGAAATAGTGACAGCAGGAAATTGAAAATCTAGGCAGTTCCTAGAATCCACACTGTAGGAGAAACCAAAAACATGCTTTCTTCATGCCTATTTCTTGAAACTCCTGTGTGGTTTAAACCTTGATGCCCACTCTGTGCCAGACCTTACTCTGATTCAACAGGAAGTGGATGCTTTGGAAGAACTAAGCAGGCAGCTTTTTCTGGAAACAGCTGATCTACATGCTACCAAGGTACCGAGCAAGGGAACTGAAGTGTGCTTTTGTCAGTGTGATCAACGTGAGGACAAGACTGCATGGCTTTTTAGTGTCCTGTACAGCCAGTCAGTGCAAGAGACACTCCATAGCTTCAGTGTTGGTCACGAAGGATTGGAGTCTGCTCTCTCCGCACCATTGCTCCTCCCCCAGCAAAGCCCTTACTGGAATGCTCTCAGTAATAGAAAGCAGTGGGGTAGTCAGAAGAGGCTTTTCAGCCGCTGGGAGGGGGCGTACACCACTCCCCCTGACCCAGGATCCCGATGGCCGCTCCTCTGGTTGCTCTTTATTCCCTCACAAGTTAGTTATATTGTAAACGCAAGAAGACTCTTTGCGGCCATGACCTAGCCCCATTTTAAAGGTTCCAGAACAAGAAGTGAACTAAGGACAAGAAGTAACTTTTCTATTTACGCCTAAAATGCAACACAATTTAAATATGCAAAAGTCTCTTCATTAAAGTTGTTCCAACTATTTTAATCCTTATTGAGGATCACTTCACAGGAGTAGCCCCACAGGAGAGAGGTGAACAGAAGCCTCGGGGACAGAGAGACCTGAGCCTACCTTCCCCTCCTCGCTAACTAGACGGCCGGGGGCACGTTATTTAACCTCTGAGCTTCAGTTATGAAGATTAAAGTAGATAATGCATGCAAGATGTTTGTCTCACTTTCTGGCTTAAAGTAGTAGTCAGTAAATGCTGCCACTACTGTTGTTCTTTTATTATTATTACCATGTGTGGTTTTTTTATTTAGCCTGAACAAGTAATGCATTTTTGTTATATATAAACTTACATTGTGCTGAGACTGACATGTTTTGTGTTTGTTTTCCCTCAGGAGAGAATAGAATACTCCAAAACTTTCAAGGGGAAATATTTTAATTTTCTGGGTTACTTTTTCTCTATTTACTGTGTTTGGAAAATTTTCATGGTAAGTATATTATTTTCACCTGTCAGAGTTCAGGTGATCTTCCCTGGTAATGGCAGAAAGAGGAAAGTGGGTTTGATGGAGGCATGGAACTAAATTCCAGCCTAATTTTTCAAATCCGGTTGAGTCAACAGAGAAGGCGGTCTTTCACGTATTTGAGCCTCTCTTTTCCTTCTCCTTTTTAGCTCACCCCAAAAAGGGATGTTGCATTTTTCTTGTGTCAGAAATCAATAAGGTCTTAGATTATGAAGTGTATGAAGCAAACGTAAAAGTTTCTTTCTTTCCATTCTGCTTTCCATATTACCCATGAGAATGTGACTGTAATTCAACTCCTAGCTGCAGCTCAGAGCAGAAACCCCTGTCCTTTAAATAATGTGTGTATACCTAAAAGCTCAGTCCAAAGCAAATTCTGAAGTGTGCTTCTGTAGATAAATTCAGCCTGTGTGTCTATAGGTCTTACTCTGGTGTGGCTCTCTCCTAATGTGGACTCTGTATAGGCATTTTATGTACATTACTCATCTTTACCCGTGGCTCACCTGCAGGTGTTAATGGGTTTCAGTGCGAGTATAGAAAAGGCTGATTTGAGTTTCTGGTTTGGTAACCTTCCCACTGGCACTGTATTTGCACAGAGGAGCTTGTTAGTTCATTTTGATCAGTGTAGATGAAAGGAAGATTCTGGATTTAACGGATCTAATGTTAAAATAATTTGATGTCAGTGCCTATTCAGATGACTTTTTAAAATTTATTTTTATTGATTTTAGAACAGAAGGGGGGAGAGAGAGAGAGAGAGAGAAACATCAATGATGAGAGAGAATCATTGATCTGCTGCCTCGTGCACGCCCCACACTGGGTATGGAGCTAGGAAACCAGGCCTGTGCCCTGACTGGGAATTGAACCGTAACCTCGTGGTTCATAGTTCTACACTCAACCACTGAGCCACACCGGTTGGACTCAGATGCCATTTTAAAATCTTGATTCATTCAGTGGGAAAGGACGAGTGAAGATAGTGTCCAATTAGCTAAGCTACTGAAAGCTTTTTCCTGAGATGCAGCCTTTAGGGGAGCATATCATATTTTCTTTCTATTACATTTGACATTCAGTATTATGTTAGTTTCAGGTGTAAAGGGTAATAGTTATACGTTTATATAATTGGTAAAGTAATCCCTGGGAAGTCCAGTACCCACCTGGCACCATCCATAGTTGCCACAATATTAGTGACTATTTTCCCTGTGCTGTACTTCACATCCTCATGGCTGTAACTGCCAATTTGTCCTTAATCCTTCCCCTTTTTAACCCAGCCGCCCAATCCCTCTCTCAAGTGGGAACATATTTTTTTAACAGTTTTATTGAGATATAATTGACATTCACTAAATGCACATATTTAAAGTGTACAGTTTGCTACATTTTAACAAATGTGCGCCTATGCAGCAGCCATCACCACAATCAAGGTAGAAAGCATATCCACCTACCACTGCCAGAAGTTTCCTTGTAGCCCCTCGAGATGCCCCTCTCCCACATCCCATCTCCAGGCAGCCACTGACCTGCTGTCATCCTACACTGGTTTATTTTTTCTAGAACTTTCTACAAATGGAGTCTTATAGTATGTACACTTTTTCTGTCTGGCTTCTTTTACTCAGCATAATTATTTTAAGTTCCATCCACGTTATTGTATCAGTAGTTTATTCCTTGTTATTGCTGAGTTGTATTCCATAGTATAGGTATACCACAATTTGGTTCTCTCCTCTCCTGCTGGTGGAGATCTGTTTGTTTCCAGTTTGGGGATATTATAAATAAAGCTGCTGTGAATATCTCTGTAGGAGTCTTTTCTCTTGGGAGAAAACAGCTGGGTCATATGGCAGATGTATGTTTAGCTTTTGGAGAAACGGCCAAATTTGAACCATTTACATTCCCACCTGCAGTGTATGAGAGTTTCATTTACCCCACATCCTCACCAGCACCTCAGATGGCAGTCCTTTGAACTTTGGACATTCTAATACAGCGGTCGCCACCTTTCGGACCTCACCGGTTGGCGACCGCTGTTCTGATAGGTATGAGATGGCATTTAGTTCACATTCCCTAAGGCCTAATTAGGTTGAACAACTTTTCATGTGCTTATTTGCCACCTGTTCATGTTCTTTGATGATATATCTATTCAAATTTTTGCCAGTTTTAAAATGTTTGTTTTCTTATAGTTCTATGAGTTTTTGCTTCAAGTATTTTAAAGCTCTATTATTAGGTACATACACATTTTAGAGTCATTATGAACCCTGAGTCAATGACGAGAAGAATCGCCGCAGTATTGAAGGCAAAAGGCAGCCCAACGAAGTACTGATGGGGTGGTCATAATAATCTGGCCACTCAGTGTATATATTTTTTAATTCTCTTCCTTTTTAACCTATTTGCATTTTATATTTAAAGTGGGTTTCTTATAAGCAACATTGAGTTGGGTTTTGCTTTTTCATCCAGTCTGACCATCTCTGCCATTTACTTGGCATGTTTAGACCAGCTGTCAGCCATCTGTAGCCCACAGGTGAAATCCAGCCACCACCTGCTTTTGTAAATAAAGTTTTATTGGAACACAGCCAAGCCTATTTGTCTACATATCATCTGCAGCTACTCTCATACTACAGCTACAGCATTTGCCAACCCCTGGTTTTGAGCATTTACATTTAATGTGGTTATTCATATGGTTTGCTGTAAAACAACCATAATACTACATGTGTTTCATTTGTCTCAGCTGTTTTCTGCCCTTTTCCCTTTTTTCTGCCTTCTTTTGGGTTGACTTTTTTCATGATTCCATTTGCTCTGCTTTGTTGGCTCGTTAGCTTTAACTGTCTTTACTTCAGTGGCTGCTTTTGGAGCCCTCGGGAAATACTGCAGGGAGTGAGCCTGGAGCTCCTTTATCCTCCTGCCCTGGCATCTCCCAGATCTTCCTTTCTGGCTCTGATAAATTCAGACGTATATGCCATAGCCTATTCCCCTGTTCTCTTCACAGAAGAGAT